TGATTGATTGCGATATCTCTATTGATTTGTATGTTAATTAATTCGTCTAGTTCTATGTCATTTTCACTGAGTAGTTTTTTAAGTACATAGGGCTGATCCATGTTACATTTAAAAATTCTCGAATAAGTGAATCTTTTAATTTATCAAATCCACATGTAGAGGCCAGGGTTTTAAGTTTTGTAAGAAACGTGTCCAGTGAATCTTGATCTTCATGGTGACTAAATAAACTTTCGGGCGTTCAATTGTTAAGTTACGTTTTGGTATAAAATAATTTTCAATGGCAATCTTTTTCATAAGCATTTTTTGGATTTTTTATCAGATGCAGGATATTTATATCTATGCACTTGACCACATCTCTTACAAACACTTCTTCGATTGGTTTCAACTCCCGTCTGCATTTCTTTTGTAGGTTTCCATCGGCGTAATGCTGCACTTACAACTAATCAGATCCATTTTCCAAATAGGACATGTTTTTGAGTGTTAGCGATATTTCTATTGATTTGTATATGTTAATTAATTCGTCTAGTTCTATGTCATTTTCACTGACTAGTTTTTGACGTACATCGCTTGTCCATATTACATTTCAAAATGTCTCGAATAAGTGAATCTTTTATTTTATCAAATTCACAAATAGAAGCGAGCTTTTTAAGTTTTATAATAGTGTCAAGTGAATCTTGATGTTGACTAAAAAACTTAGGCGTTCAATTGTTAAGTTATGTTTTGGTATAAAATAATTGTCAAAGGCTTAAATTTTTTTTAAGGACTGTCTTTTATCTTCTGTGAAAGAATTGAAAATATCAAGGCATGGTGACAATCACCAATAAAGTGCAACAAAATGGCTATTCGCCTTCTACCATCTTCTTGGTCATGTTTCATGACAATTTCGAAATTTTGAAACACTTGTTTCCATATTAACCACGACTGCGGCTCTAATTAGCTCGTAGGCTCGTCTCGTCTCAGAGGTTTTTTAATATAACTAGCTTTTCGCTCGCGTTGTATCCCTTAAATAAATTTATTTGTAAAGGGTTAATTACAACACTTTATTCCAATTAAAAATAGCCTATGTCCTTTCCCAGGCTCTCCCTTTTCAGGACTATTTGTGTGCCAAATTTCATTTAAATCGGTTCAGTAGTTTAAGAGTGAATGAAAGACAGACAGAGTTAATTTCGCATTTATAATCATTTTAGATTAGACTAGTAGAATGAAGTGGCGTCTTTTTGTTAACGTACGTTAACGAAATAGGTAGGCATTGAATAAATTGACTGACAATTTCACCTTCTGCATTGCCACCATGTTTATTGTATACCAAACATTTGAATTCTTTATAAATTATCTTCCTTTCTGCTTTTTTTATATCTTTTCGGAAATATAAAGCCAAGAGAATCTTCTGTAGAATTGCTAAGTTCTTCAGAAATTTCATCAGCTTGAAAATTGACTACATTTTCAAAACTCTAATAATGTATAATCGTTTTCGCACTCTATATTTCTTAGAATTATACTTTCACTGTTTACGCAATCGTCTTTGTTCACGTGGGCTTTTTCAGTGATGGATGTCTGTGTCTTTATATTTGTTTGTTTTTGTATTTGACATTTTGGTTTTTCTTTTTCTGAGGCATATTATTCGGTGTCATATTTTTTAAACACAACTTTTATCGAAACAAAAATCGCGGATATTCATGATGTGTGACTAATTTTTCTATAACTAAATGACAATGTCATGGGTATATCTCGATATCAGTCAAAAATTACTAGATTACTTAAGACTTAAAATATTACATACGTGATTAAATCAGGCAAAATTTTGTCAAAGAATATAAGTTTTTGTAGCCACCTGTATATTTATTTATTTATAAATTATTGTCGGCTCTCAGGTTGTGTACACACAAACAATTTGTTATCCTTATTTTGTTTACAAAACAACTTAAAAAAACAATGTTTCGTCGTATAACAGCTTTTCAGATTTAAACAATTATGATGATTGATGGATGCTGTAAACTACAAAGATTGTTATATTGTAATAAAGACTTAAAATTAAAGTGTTTTTTTTTTTTAGTTTAATATATTTTTATAATAACTGTCAAAGAGTAATTACAGTTTGTTAAATATACGGTGATACGCGGGACTATGACAATAATCTTAAAAGTAAAGTAAAGTAACAGCCTATACATGTCCCACTGCTGGGCAAAGGCCTCCTCTATACAGAGGGTATCAGGGCATAGTCCACCACGCGGCCCCACTGCGGATTGGCGGACTTCACATATTTTCGAAATACATTTTTTTTTGTTATTATTCCGAAAATATACAGGTTTCCTCACGATGTTTTCCTTCACCGCGGAGCACGTGATAATTCAGCTCTTAAAGTTAAAAACTTCATTGGTGCCGCCACCGGGGATCGAAGTCAGGTTGCTAGAGTATACATTGAATTAAGGCGAGCGCCCGGACACTGAGCTATCATATTAATAATAATATATATAATTATTTAATATATATAATTATATATATAATATATATAATTATTTATATTAATAATAAATTTACATAACGCCGAATATTAAGACCCCCCCTTAAACCGCCGTCGTGACAGTCCCATTCTATTTTTTTTTTATTATCGTTGGTATAAGTCATGAAAATGTATGTCGAATTTCCCGCGTATTAGTAACCTATATTTATGAGACTTATTAAATTTGTAAAACTTGCCATGATTAAAGGACTTCATTTGACAATAATGATGACTTATATTCCCGCCTAGATATTTGAAAACGGCGGTGGGGATTAGTTCTTTTGTTAGTGCTATACTACTACGGCACTTTTTTATGGAGTTACGTTTCTTCTCGAAGTACTTACATAATTATGTTCTGTGCAAGTATGTCGTTTTGATTTATTAACATTAACTAATTTGGAATTTACAAGACAGTAATTACTTTATAATACAATATGGAACTGTATTTTAAATTTTAATTAATCTTCGCAAAGAAAAGAACTTTAACATTTCTCTAACTTATATGTTATCTATTAATAACTTTCATACTAACATGCGGCCTTTCAAAGGCCAAGTGAAAATTTGTGTGTATTTTTTACATACCCGATCTGAAAACTCTGTGGACCTCAATGACTTAATATTATAAAAATAACCTTGCCAAATATCGCAATATATATCATAACTGAAAATTTAAGTTAAATTTATTAGTTTGACCCCTAAAATGTCCGCTAAAATTCTTTAACGATTCTGAGCCTTTGTGAAGAGACAAGCTTTGTTCATCATATAAATGGTAATAAAAATTTTAATTAAAATTTTGTCATTCTGATACTTCAATTTTATTATTCGTATCGCAAAATTTTAAATTATATTAAGAGAGATTATATATCAAGTTACATTTACTGTTTTAAAACATTTTAACTGTATTAAGGCAGGTACGTTTAGAAACATGGCTAACTAATGAAATATTCCTTTTTTCCAATGCATAATTAACTATCGTCTACTATAGTCCCTGCCGGTGGCTACTGCTAGATTCTAGTTTTATTTTTTGAATTCAACGGCCATAGGGATAACGGTACACACTGAACCCCCATAGCCCGCAGATGTCCCTCAATTTAATTAATTATTATTAGTATTTAAATATAATAATAAATAAATTATTTTTATTATATTTTTATAATGAAAACAGTCTATATAATTATATTATTTTGTGCCTTAATGAAAATATGAAATATATTTTTAAACGTCACACTGTCATGCTTTCCACAATAAAACCAAAAACGTAGTGATTACATTCTCTTTGAATAAAACATTGTCTGAATCCAATGTAAAATATTGCACATATTTATTTTAAAATAAAAATATTACCTTTATAACGAGGCTAGAACTATGAATGAAATATGCCAGTAAATAAAGCATTGCCTTTCGAAAGAAAATACCTAGTCCAGCCATAAGTTCTGTTACAAATGAAAATGCATTTTTTTTAAAAGAAGTAATGTAATATTATTAAAATTTATACCTACATATTTATTAACGTCTCAGCAAAATATAAAAAAATATTCTATTCGAAATGGCCACCTTTAGCTTTTATACAGGCCTTTAATCTCTTTGGCCACGAATCTATGGATTTACGCACTGTTTCCAAGGGAAATTTCGCCACTGCTTGCTCCAAAGATTTTTAAGAGACTTAATGTCGCCGTGTCGTTTAGAGCGTCGCCATGTCCTGAAACTGACCATAATTTGAAGTCTAAAGGGTTGAGGTCTGGGCTTGATGAGGCCCAGTCTTCAACTCTTATAAAGTCCGGAACGTTGGTTTCGAGCCAGGCTTGGGTAGTTCGTGCCTTGTGACCAGGTGCAGAGTCCTGCTGGAAAGTCCACGGTATATTTTTAAAAAGTGTACTGCTGAAAGGTTTCACAACATGATCCAGGACTGTATCTTGATACACTTCGGCTGAAGTTTTCACTCCTTTTTCACAATAATGTAGTTTTGTGACTCCTTGATAAGACACGCCCCACCAAACCATCACTGACGCAGGATAATGACCACGTTATACCTTTCCGACAACTTGAGCAGCTTCTTTAGAACTGTGAGCGTACACTTTATCATTTTGCTTATTGTAGTGTTCATCAATCGTGAAAATTTTTTCATCGGTAAAGAGGATATTTCTGTCCCCTTCACCTGCGTATCGCGACAGAAGGCGTTTTGATCGATCCACTCTCGTTAAATTTAGATTGATTTAGGGCATGTCCTGTATATCGGTGATAAGCACCGAGCTTCAGGTCCTAGCGGGAATCTTCATTTCTCGCGATAAGATTTTTTGCTTCCTAATGGGGTTTCGACGAATTCTGCCTTTAACAGCCTTTGTAACAACCCTCGGCTTTTCTGGTCTTCGACAGACGAGTGTTGCTGTATCTGTTGATAGTAGGATGTACGAACATTCGGCTGATACCAAGCTTTTGAAGTGTCTGGAATATGATCGACGGCTCCATACCCACTTTGTGCAAGGCGATCACTGCAATCCTATTTTCTTTAACACCCCATTCCATATTGATAATGAACACGAAAAAATATGTGAAATGGCGCAAAATCGAATTAAGTTTTTAAAATAACATACGTGTTCCAATTTCAAAATAATTAAAAAGTTGAAAAAAAGAAAAGTTTTTATGTAACAGTATTTATGGCCAGACTAGTTATGTAATGAAAATAAGAATACATTAATTTAAAGAGTTAAACACAATTATAAATAAATAAAAGACCTATTATTAATACCCATATTAGAGGAATTTGAATTGCACCACTCAGATATTTGGCAAAAAAAATTAAAACCTACAATAAAACAAAGAACTCATCGTGAAAAGGGTAAATTTTTCGGTTGGCAATATTTTCCAAAAAAAACCTTTAAAGACACTAATTGTTAACATGTTTAGGAACTTATTCCGTGGACTGAATATAGAACTAAATTAATTATTTAATTTACCGATATCCCGTCGAAAGTTTGTGACAACCGTTGTCAACTTTGATCATGTCCGCAGCCTTCTCCGCTATCATTATAATAGGAGCGTTTGTGTTCCCGCTAGTGATGGTGGGCATCACACTTCCATCGACAACCCTTAAGCGTTCAACGCCCCTCACCCTTAATCGCTCATCGACGACCCCTTCGGGGCCCATTGCACAAGTCCCCGTAGGGTGATACTGGGTCGCGGCCAAATTCAACACGTAACACTTCCAGTACTCGTGGCTCCCAAACGGCATTTCAGAACACTGTTCAACGTTTAGGTCCAACACTTCTGCGCTGACGTTCCGCAGGTATGAAGCGTTGATGACCTTGATGTAATTCTCCACGTACTTTGCGAAGTTCACCAGGTCCACTTTCTTGGAGAAAAAACCGGTGTGAATCATAGCGGCGTCACTAGGGTCGCTGCTCTTTAGCCGAATGCTACCCCTGGACTCTGGATGCAGGAGCGTCAACACGGCGAATAACACCTCCTTGTCTAAAGTCGCTTTAGCCATGGCCGTGCATATCCTTTCGTTCCAGTTGAACACCTTTGAACACATAAACACGGGCAGGATCGATGTGGAGTGGATGGGAAGGACCGTTGCCTGGTAGTCGGGATAGGTTTGCGCTTTATTCAAGGCCACATGCCCCAAAAGGCACGCGTTAGGAAATTTGTCCAAATTCCGTAAGGTATTAAAAACTTCATGCCACGATTTGATATTTTTCTCGCCACTAATTAATACCGGTACCAAAGCATGATCCTGCAAGTTCTGCCCAACGTATTGCGAATCAACCAGAGTCTTTATTCCAACTTCATCTAGATGCTTCTTCGGTCCTATGCCAGAGAGCATTAATAGCTGCGGAGTGTTGATAGTACCTGCTGACAAAATCACCTCTCGATTTGATTTGACAATTATGATATTGCCGTTCGGAAGCTTCACTTCTACGCCTATCGCTCTCTTTCGCTCATCCAATACGATCCTTCTGACCAAAGTGTTCTTTAACAAATATACATTTTTGCGATCCCGCAATGGCTTGAGGTAAGCTACAGCCGTGCTTTGACGTACGCCTTCGCCAACGGTGAACATGGGATACGAGTAACCGTTCTGTCGCAAGCCGTTAGTGTCGAGCAAGACATCGTGTCCCATTTCGTGGAAAGCTTGCAGGTATCGCTCGCTCCTGTCCTTCCACACTGGCCGTGTGACGTCGACGTTGCCGTGTGTCCCGTGCAAATAGGCCGAGTCGCTGCTTAAGACTTGGGGGTCCAACAAATGTTCGCTCTTCTTGAAATAGTGCGTCACCGTGTCCCAATCCCATCCGTCGTTACCCAACTTTGTCCAATGATCGTAGTCTGCTTTGTTTCCTTTGACGTAAAACATGAAGTTCACGCCGCTGGAGCCACCCAGCATTTTACCTGTGTTCATCCGTATGCTTTTGGTCCTCTGTCCTTGGCTGGAGAAGCCGTCGTCAATAGTGTAATGGTCCCAGTCCGGTAGCATGTCTGGCATTAGCACAGACAAACCGGGGCTCTGTAAATTGATAAATAAACCTTGAATATTTCTTTATTTATCATTATGATAGTCATGACCAAGTTACAAAGATGTTAACTTAGGAATTTAATTTCCCCTTTCACCCGGGTTCCCGCCTAGGCGTGGTGGTGGGGCTACCTTAGTAGCCACAGATCGCTTCCTACCGTCGAAACCAAGAGGAATCCACCCTGGGTCAGCCCATGTAGTGCACGTAACGACGTATTCATGTGGGTTGCCTTACCGAATACAGATAACCCACATAATCTTACTTTGATTTGAATATACCTCGCCGTCTGCACCGTAAGATGAAATACTTGATCATATCAATTTTGACTTCAAGGTGTGATATGATGGTTGAGCGCCTTTAGTCAAGATCTCATTTCATCAGAAACTAGGCATTTAAAATGCACACCCAGTACAACCAATCCATAACAGATTATGGTACTCCTAAAATAGACGAGAGACTACATTGCATCTACTTTCTTGCAAAAGATACCAACGTCTGTATAAGCCGGTGGATCGCCGCCTGCCTCGATAAGCAGCACACTCCAGTTTCCAATCTCCGTCAGCCGATTGGCAAGAACACACCCCGCCGACCCAGCGCCGACCACAATGAAATCGAAACTTTGGCCGTCTGTAATTCGGGAGACAATGTTATATTTACATATTCATTCGTGTTTCTCTTTATCTATATTTGTTAAAAATGTAAGGTAAAGTAACAGTCTATAAATAAAAGTCGGACGAAGGCCTCTTTTGTACAGACGGTATTAGGGCATAGTCCACCACGCCAATCCTGCGGATTGGCAAAGTTCAAATATGTTCAAAAAAAATTATTTTTGTTACTAAAATTTCGGTTAAAATATGAAGGTTTCCTGAAGATGTTTTCCTTACCGCTGAGCACGTGATAAGTCAGCACTTGAAATTAATAATTTCATTGGATCTGGCTAGATACCTTTAGTTACTTTTTTTTACAAGGTAAGGTTTTCTTTTCGACTAATTTTTTATGATTAATTTTCTTTGTAGTGCTCTGCACTCAAGATGAAACTGAAAACATGGTTTTTTAATAGAAAAATTACCATAAACCATGGTTTTTTAAAAGAAAAATTACCATAAACCTTCCGGCGCTACGGGATTCGACTCCTATATCTTCTGGGTAATATGTCCAAATGCTTTACCAACCAAGCTAAGCAAAGATACGCCTATTCACTAGTGACGATTATTATTATTATTATTAAAGCCATAATTCATTACGGACTCACGCCCGGTTTCTGAAACACTAATGATTCTGATCAATTCAGAGAGTTTCACAATCCTTTTGGCAACTCAAATAACATTTGAAAATCTATTTGACAGCTGGTTAGTCAACTTCTATGATGATCAGAGTTTCAGAAACCGGGCGTCAGTGTATAAGAAGTACTTATTCACTAGTGACGATTATTATTATTAAGCCAAAATTCTTTACGGTCACAGTGCATTAGAAGCAGTTCGTTGCCTACCATAGACTTTAGCTTGCTGAGGATACTCGGTGGACTGGAGTAAAAGGGGCGACGCTATTAAAATTAGCATCTCCACGAAGTCCAGAAAGGGCATCAGAACCTTTACTTGCAGATATGAGATGGTATCCAGCAACCACATCCTGAAAAAAGAAATACATACAAACGTACGGTTTCCACTATCGTTTAGCAAAAAGTTAGCCTGTCGTTTAAGTCAGGCAAGTAAACTTCTTTTAACTGTGGTCATTTACCAGGTTCTTTTATGACCAATATATCCATTTAGATCCATTTTAAGTTAAAAACTACATGAACCACTACGATCCCAACCTAAAATGATATGATCCAGTTTAATGGTAAATGAGCTAGCACAGTTCAAGCCTATTCACATGACCGGAATTCTTTACTTATCAAGATGTTCACATTTTTATTTATTGCAGAACAACTAGCATTACAGACACACGCCCAATACTGTAGCATTAGAAAAAGATATATAATCAACTTGTGGTTTACATAAACTTTACCACTTTCATTTTGTAATATGCATTTCTTTTTTTTTTAAATTAGCCCCCCTTCTGATTTGTAACAATAGTGTATTTTAAATTTGTAGAAAAAGTACGAAAAGATTGTCGCCGCTGTGGGAATCGAACCCACGTCTTCGGCATTCGCGGCCTGACGCTCTAGCCGCTAAGCTAAACGGCTAATTGTCACACCGATTCATTCATTTCAATTCATTCAAACTTTTAAATAAGTTGATTTTGTCCACTACGTCTTAATCAATGTGAATAGCGCGTCTCATTAAGTCTGTTAGTGAAATAGGCATTGCCAACTGTGGTGATTGTTGTCCATACCAAGTAGATACGTCGGATACATGAATAAATATATAATAAACATAAAGGGTCCTTCTACAACCTAAGATATAGATATCTTATTAACTTATTCCGTACCTTTTCTAACATATTGATGTACTTCCGATACATTTGGTGTCCAAACAGCCGTATTAATCTAATTTCTAACTATTTTGCAGTACCGTCTTTACATAAGGGCACACGAGGCCCTTGTCCAGTGGCTTTGTCGTCACGGGCGTCCCGCATGGCCTACTTATTCGCTTAAAATATAGAAAATTTTCTCAATTTTTGGTAAATATATTCCGACAGAAGTTTATAGAATAAATGAAAAACTTAATATCGGAAAAATATTCTTTTCATTCCCTTTTTTATTTTCCATCCGGGCCTCAAATTTATGTGCCCTAGGGCCCCCGGATATGGCCTAATACGGCATTGCTAGTGGCTACCCATTGCAGTACAATGTGATCACTTCATGAATTATCGTATACTCGAGCAAGTGCGCCGTATAAAAACCAGTCTACGATAAGCCGTGCATATTTCATTTATATTTTCCCGGAAGGAGAGGCTTGACACAAATCTAACGGCTAAATCTTGAACACGTACTACCCGTTGTAACTTCTCCCTATCAACAGTGTAGTTGTGACGTAAAGAGTTGTGTGATTTGCTGAATATGATTGAGCAATTTGCGGTATTAAAAAACTTGATCGCACCACCACATCATAAAACTATCAATGATCCTTTGCATACGAAATCGTTAACACACTCCAGTGGCAAATCAAGCTACAGGTCGTCAGCTAACGAAACGAAAGACATTTAGTATCATTCACCACACTGAAAGAATGTCATTAATAAATATAAGAAAGTGGAGTAGTCCTAAATTTCTACCTGACCAACTGTAGTATATACTGGAAGTATAACCTGCATAATCAATGAACTTCTGCTGGTCGCACATCCAACTGCCGCCACGGTGTAAACTCAACTTCTGCCAGCATAGCAAGAAGATATTTCACTTTGTCGAAAACTTTACGGATGTTAAATTAGGCAGCCCCTACCACCGGTACTATCTGTGACATGTATGTCAACAAATTACTTTTTGCAACAATTGCAACTGAACATCGATTTCCGACAAGATACTTTTATGCAAAGACCTGCGCAGGTACGCACGGGATAACTATTGGTGTGAAGTCCTTTATACTTCTCCGCTCTTACCTTGAGACAGTCCACAACGTACAAATGTTACTACAAAAAGTACCAATGTACTACACGTGTAGTCATCCTCCTATCGGGGAAAACAGCCGACAGCAGACATATAAAATAAGTGACATAATATTCTCGCTAAGGCAGAGCGACAATCCCTTAATACATAAGCGAGTAGGCCTCTATTCCTGCAGATCGTTAAGGCTAGTTTCTCTAGCGCATTTTCAACTTCCTTGAGCTCTTTACTAACAATGTCAACCCTCGCACCAGCCTTGACTGATCTCGAACTTATTCCTGCTACATCAACATTGAACTTAAGCTGTTCCGCGTTGTACATTGAATGGACAAAGCGCACGGATTCATATGTACATTCGTGTCTAAGCAGAATTTTAGCAAACTTCAAGATTTTTTATTATTTTGGGGTTCCTCTATGATCATTTATATAACGACTAAGCTACTTAAGATCATTCCGTAATTCGTTGTTTATTTTTAATGTTTTTTCTATATATTCACCAGCAATAGTTCATTGTGTGCATCAACTGGTACCAAACCATCCTCCGCACCGCACACCACTCCATTCCACAACAGATCACCACCAAAGTTACTCAGTGCAACGTCTAACTGCCGATTGTTACCGTTATCTATTTTATTGCTTTGAGTGAACCCACAGAAGGTATTTACAAATACTACTTGAAAACGAATACGAAATTTAGAATTCAAAAACAATTATTTTGAACAAAACACTCATCGATCGAACTTTTTGTTGGCATGCAAAAAAAACAACATCAAAACAGAAATCTGTTGCGAAAATGCACAGTTGCATACTAATTCGCATACTAATTCGAAACTGCACACATTAATGTTAACATTTTCTGGTATCTCCATTAGCCGCAAGTCGCGTCTTATCTATGAGTCGCAGCGTGGCGTGGTCACGAAACAGGTGTTTTTGGCTGTCTGTTGCTCGCATGGTATAATATGTGACACCCCTGCGTAGGGTTGCCAAACATACTTTTTAATAACGTAGGATACGTTTTTGGTAAATATAAAGTATATTACTAGTATATACTTTCTCATAAAAATAAAGTATCAGATACTATTATTTTTATGCAAAAGTATAAAGTATATATACTCTATTTCCTGACAGTTTTATTTCATTAACCTTTAATAGATTATATAACGGCTGCGTAGATTGTCCTACCTTGCTAGAAAAAATGCGTGATCGTATCCAAACACGCCGGGTACGAGGTACAAATTTATTTGATGTCCCTGTTACAAAAACAAAGCATGCCCAGAGCTCAGTCTTATATATTATTTATTTATTTCATAAGTCTTTAGACTTGTTTGTGTATTAACGTTTGAAATTCATAAACAGCCACACGATTAACATCTTATTTATGAGTATGTGATAATTATAATACCTAAAATAGCACTGAGTTGAAAATGTATTTTACACCTGTCAAATATCCTGTTTAGAAAAACAAGAATTTTACTTTTTAGGCGAAGTGTTTTTACAGAATCCTTAGTGATAATTTTTCTTAGTAATCTAAGGCCAAGATGTCATCTAATAAATAAAATATAATCGTTAGTATTTAAAATAGTTACATTGAATATTTTTTGGAACAGTAACTAATGCGTATTATATTAAAAGCGACGATGATGCTAATCATAGTCTTTGTAATGGGCATGTTTTAAATTATTGTAATTAGCTCTTCAATTGTTTTTGTAAAAGATGTGTATTGTGTAATATACATCTTTCACAAAAATAATATCCATAAAAAGTGATATAATAGGCCATTATACTATTATAGTAAAGTATTATTGTAATGTTATATTGTACATACGTGGAGTACCCCCATAATTAAAAAAATGGAATGGCCGATTTGGCTCGTTCTAACTTAGATCAAAATTTTTTTTGAGGATTAAGACATTAATTTTCTCCAAAGATTTACAATACAAATTAATGTAAAATATAAAAAATTATCCGATATTTTATCTTAAAATATTATACTTCAATCTTTAACTGTTTACTCATCAATACATAGTTCTATAAACAATTAGGGATGTCTTTATCACAGTTCCTGTCACGTATACGTCAAACAGAATGGTCAGTAAATATTTAGACAAACCTTATATCGATAATTATTAAATAACTTATTTTTTTTTTAATTATTCCTATTTTCTTATATTGCGTCTTGTCACACTCGACTTGATGAGACTACAGATGAAACGGGACTGTCCGTATACCGATGCCTTTTATTCGCCCTGCTATCCGCAAACGAAACATGGTGAGCACTAGATAGATAGATAGAAGCGGACTAGATTCAGCCTTCTCGTTTGTTAGTACTGGCTCTCCTGCCTGTATAGAACTCTGGGCAAAAGACTTCAATAAAGCGCTTTATGTTTCAGCACGCCCTACCTGGAGAGGTAGAGGCGACTAGCGCTGGAGTTCAGGGTACGAAAAACCGTTCCAGTGGCCCTGCCGGCAAGCCCATGTGGACAATCGACAAGAGTTTAAGCCGGTGCGGTGCGTAGCCCGCCCTAACCCCCGCGGACCGTGTCCTGACCGATATTTCATTTTATGATAAAATGATGATATTTATTCATAGAAATGTTGTTTGCTATCACGTTGTCCGTGTTTTTTACAACTTCCGTCGCGGCACGAACGCATATAATGTCTTTGCCGTTTTTAAAAACAGTAATAGACAAGCAAAAATCTGTTTTCCCCACAACAGTCACAATACAGATTACCGATAAACAATATGGTTTGATTTTGATTCATTTATTATAATTATTCCGTGCGTGTGTGTGACTAAGCTGCTTCTTAACGGCGGGAACGAAGTGGATTCGATAATGGTTTAAATTCAAAATTCGGTCTGCTGCAAAATGTTTTTTTAGTTATTTTTTTATTTATAAGTTGTCGTCGGATTTAAGACGTGTGTAGAGTAATCATAAAACATATCAATCCAGGAAGTAAAATGTATGCTAACCGTACTAGGCGAACCTTGTATCTTATCCTTCAATGGCAAATTATTAACAACTCCGTAAACCGGTTTCTAAATAGTACCACCTACTACCTTAATGATATGTATTCTTTATATTACCATACTTCGAACAAACTCTAATAATTGCTATGGGCATCACTGTTTTTTGCACAATGCTTTTTTGTCGCTTGTTTTTTATGACTACTTTTTTTGCTGCGACTCACTTGAATGTATGTAAAGCATACCGAGTGACGGGAACTTTTAAACGAACGGTATAAAATCCGTAAAACAGTTTTGTGTACAATTTCTAAACTTTTATTAAATCCAAGAGATCATTATGATATTAAGCGGATCCGAAAAGTTTGAAATGGCCCATTGCATTGCATTGCTTTATTACGTCTTCACAATGTATTAACCTTTGAAAACTTTGTTTAGACGTTTAGAAATAGAAATAGTAAAATAATTTTTAACTATTTCACTTTGAAAAGAATCACGCGACTGAGACTCAATGATTTAACAGGATTTTCCAAAACTTATCTTTAACTCGTAAATTTCACATTCAAAAATTACTACAAATAACAACCAAGCAACTAATAATAAAAAACGCGATAAAATAAATTAAATTTAGCGGAGAAGGAAATTTAAGAGTTGTGTAGTGTGAAAAAAACCGAAACAATCATTCCACACAACAAATATTAACTTTATTATTCAAGTTATACTTCTTTTGGTGCGTTTAAAAAAAATTAGAGTAAAATCTTTAAGATGCGCGCCGCACACGACAGTGTAAAAGCGACTTTATGGCAATCAATACTTTTTGACATTTAGTTATAATTCCAAATTATTTAATTGAACCTCTATGAATTGCATTTAATATCTTTTTCACAAACAAAGTACTGGCACGGGGATACAGTTTCTAGTTTTTTTTTCTTTTTTTAAGCTAATGAAATAGGATAAAATCTTACGTGCGTACCATAAGTACATATGTTTTTTTTAATTAACCATCGTTAAAGTTCAACAATTACCAATTCAAGATTAATTCCAATTACATTATCAATCTGGGCTACCGTCAGCTTTTCGGTTATTTACTTTAGACCGATACAAAAAATCTCATAGTAGGTGTTTGAAGGTATAGCAGTTTGGTGTTCTAAAATAATTTTTAAAAAGGTACTCATGTAAACTAAGGATTTATAAGTTTAAGCGTTAAGCGTACGAACTTTGTATTTTTAAATCAGTACAAAGTATCATTATTTTTTTTTATAAAATTAACACTAATGCTTAAAAAATATTATTTTCGATATCACTTACATTTTGGCAGCAGTCTTTTCGTCGTTACTACAGATAGTAATTATTGTAATTATTATTACAGCTGTGAAATTGCTTTTTTCGGACCTCTTCTATGGTGAGGATAGCTTCTAAACACTATTATTTACAAATCACTTCGTGCACTGGGACAAAAGCGTTTCCGTCCAACATTATATAGATAATACGCAAGATAATATAACACTTGGGGCGACAGTCAGTGGTGAGTGCTGCACAACTAAAGAAAAACAAACCAAACGAGTGTTTATCTTACACCTTCAACAGGATTGGTTTGGAGTTGGGTCGCATGATACAAAATATCTTTTATTTTATTTTTATTTTATTTTAGTGGGGATAACAAACAGCTACAATATATGATATGAACAGATCTGTTGCGTTGATGTAGTAATAATATTACAGCCCACTACATTATCCACGTATTAAACATACAATATTATTTTAATGGAAGCTACTAGATACGTTACAAAAATAAAAATAAAAAAACAATAACAAATAGCACAAAGATAAAAAAAAGGAACACTTCAAGAATACAAAAATACATAATTATTAAAAAGTATAGCTTAACTTATTTAATTTGGAAACTATTTGGTTCTTATACTTAGATTTAGAGCATTCAAATATATCAATATCAACAAAATTGGAGTTATATGATTTAAGCATACGTTGTATAGGACATCGTAGTCCTGAGTAGTACAAGTATTGATGGCAAAGAGAGTGCCCGGGCGAACTGTTCGTTTATGGGTAGTACGAGGAACTACATAGCAAATCCTATTTGTTAAATCAATGCAGTCGTGCAATCAATGTCAAATCAAAGCAGTAGTGTAATCTTAACGTGAATCTCGCCGTCTTGAGGTTCACTGCTTAATTCCATGCCGTACCATATTATTTATAAACATGTTACATTAACATGCGAAAGTACAAAAAAAAATCAGCTTATCAGCGATGAGGCCGCAGCAGACTATGTCTTACTGTCATATGAATAGAAGCCGGTTACGCAGCTTTTGTACAAACATACCAACACACAGCATGTTTATCAAAACCCAACCACTCGCCCAACTCTGAAACATGTAATACAAATTGGATATCTTTTTGTTATTATTCGCACAAGAAAAAATTATTATTTTCAATAAAACCTAACGCGGTGGCTTCTGCTTTGCATGGACAGATACATGTACCTAAATTAGAGACGTTTATGTAAATATCAAGGACAATATTAAATTATCAATAACGCAAAAGCAACCATAATAATTCAAAGTACTGAATAATGAACATTTCCCTTGCGTCAGAGAGTGTGGGTTCGATCCCCATTAGGTACGAAAACATTGTGTGATGAACAGTGTTTTTCTAGTCTCTCGGTTTATATGCCAATAATATGAGTTTATTTACAAAATAAAAGTACATTGAAGTATGTAAATCAGTTACCTAGCACCAATATTACAAGTTTTGCTTAGTTTGGAACTAGATAAAATTGTGTAACGTTATGTCCTTGTCACACAGATTTATTTACAGACACAGAGAGGTGAATAAAATTACAACTAAAACAAATTCAATGTCTAATCTTTTTCACATGCAAAACCTACCACGGAATAGAAAAAAATATGCATACGTAATTCCATTGAGGGTCGATATCGCATTTTCTAATAAATGAATAAAGATAGAGGTGGAAATATCGAAGCGGCTATTCGCAACCTTCAAATACGATAAGTAACGCAAATTAAGCACGCAAATATTTCCTTCTTGCTGGCACTTAGCTGCAGCGGTAACAAAAGAGTTTATGCCGGTCATTACATGCCGTAGGTTGGATTTAATCAAGAAGATTCTAAAGTGCAAAAGGACTTTTCTGAGAGAGATTTTTCTGTAGCGTTTTTGAGGTGTTTGTGTTTGTTTGTACAGGCGGTAAATCGATTCGGAACAGAACATTAGATACACACTCTTATTGAGTATATTCTCTATATATGAGTTCATACTCAGCAGCCAAGCACTAGTATATTCCAATATAATTGTGTCTGGCGTCTGTGTCGACGTACAACCTACCATGAGGCATCTCGGCCTAGTCCTGGATTGACAATGGGACTTCTGTGTCCACTTCGAGCGGCTGTCTCCCAAAGTGGTGAAAGCATCAGCAACTCTCGGCAGATTACTTCCAAACGTTGGCGGCCCCAACGATACGTGACGTCGCCTATACGCCGGAGTCGTGAGGTCAATGTCTCTGTATGTGGCTCCTGTGTGGGCCGACACCCTGAGTCGCCGGAGCAAAGCACTTTTGTGCAAGCTGCAAAAAGTGTTGGCTATACGAGGCATTCGGGTCTACCGGACCATATGCAGTGAGGTGGCGTGCCTGGTGGCTGGCTCCTTGCCTTGGGACCTGGAAGCTGAAATCCTCGCGGCATTGCACTTTTGGCGCGAGGAGCTAAAGGCCCTAGCATAGGCTGGAGCACTCCGCGCGGGCCTAATAACCGTGGAGGCCATACGTCCTGTCCTCAGTAGGTGACTGGACAGGCAATACGGCACCTACCGCGCAACGCAGGTCCTCTCGGGAAATGGTTGTTTCGGGAGGTATCTGTTTCGCGTGGCGAGGAGGGAGCCCACAGCGGAATGCCACCACTGCGACATATGTGCCGAGGAGGCGACCCAACGCGCCCCAGACGGCGCTGGAAAAGTCCCCAGCCTGGACGGAGCAGCGCCGAGAGCTGTGCGCTATCGTGAGGCACGAGCTCTCGGTGCCTGCCATGGTGGACAGCGGGAGGGCGTGGGGAGCTGTCCTTGCTTTTTGTGAGGAAATAATCACCCGGCTGGGGGCCGCGGAGCGAGAAAGGCAGGCAACTGCCACTTTGGAAATCCGCTGTAGGAGACCAGGGCGCTGGAGGATGGCCTACGCGCACATCGCCCCTGATAGCGGATCTTGGGTTGGCAGATGTGGGATTAACTGCTGCCCCATGGAGGGATCGAGAGGGGTGCCGTGGCCATGGCACCGATACGGCACCATGTGGCTTGACCGGGTATCCCTAACACCCGGAAGAGGAGACCTGAGAAAGCCAAAGTCGCGACGGCTGTTGCAAATGTCAATTGAGCATCGGTTATCACTTAACATCAGTTCGTCTGCCACCTTCTCACATATATAAAGAAGTCTTAATGACACCGTAATCGAATACAGAGACAGTAGAAATGCTTGTATCCACGGACCTATTGAGATCCTAAGAATAGTCGCGCGAATATATTTTGCTACCGACTTCATAATAAAACAACTCCTTTGAACCAATGGAATAGACTAGTTTTTCTTATGGTGTAATTACAATTACAATAGGTGGTATAGAATTAATCTTGATGATTAAGTCCAATTACTTAGAATAATCCCCGTTTTCCTCTGTACCTGCGTAGCTAATTAGTACTACTTTTTTACTAAGCTTAGCACGCTGTGAATGTGACAAAAAGTGACCCATAATTGACCATTGCGACCATGAGTCCCTTGGCTCGAGAAGATAACGTCATATCCGGTATACAGTGTTGCCAGCGCCAACAATATTGATCTTTTCCATACTATATTCTCGTTGCGTACCCTTGTTTTTAATTCGACGTTTCTGTGCGCTATCTACATGATGACAGCACGCAGAAACGAAAATGGTTATTACTTATTAGTAAACATTACGCAGGTAACTTTTTATAAGCACTTTCATCGTTCGCACGTCAGCTAAATATTCTGTTATGTAGACTAATTGCTCATGTAAGACCCCATAAGGATATTAAGAAAATTAAACAAACTTTTCGATTAAGGTAAGTGAGAATATTTAGTAGTGCAATAAAAATAAATTATTAAATTGGCCTCGCATTATATCTATATTTATGTTATATGTTGCTTACATTGAAATTTCAATGCCAGATATGAGAGAATCCTTTTACTTATACGATTATTTTTATACACTTTCGTTTTCTTCGTATTAAATTCATTTAATGTCTTTGTCACACAAAAAGTTACACTAAAGAAGTTCAACTTCTTACGTACGTACATAAATACCTACTACTGTTATTTTTTTAAACTTTTGAGCGTTATTTTTGTACGTAAGAAGTACACACCTATTATTTTTTAAACTCGGTTTTTTCCGCAATCGTTTTTCAGTTTAGATATCTTCCTTAAGGCAATAGGATGTGGAAGCCAGAACGGCTGCTCGTATCTAGAACATCCTGTGGTTGCTCGTCTGAATGCTTTTAGCAAGTTAATTGTCTTGTAGTGAACGGCGCAGATATCCTCCAGTTCAATATTTCCGGTATTGATGTGAATTTTTCAACAATTTCACTTGCATCTGTAAACATGTATTGACCACTTTTCTGTATCCTTTGCGCACCCCGCCCCACATTCCTGGTGCCTGATAGAGCCACCGGATATCAAATAGAGAATAATATATTTGGATATTTGTGAATAATATATAGCATTAAATATGCCACGCCTTATTCGTATTGAGGGTGCTATAGAGCGGAACCTAGGCTCAAAAGTCTTCGCCAGAGATCTGTCTATCGGACAAAGCCAACTAAGTTGAAGACTGACAGCGGGGCTATCATCTGCAGTGGACCAGAGGTTTTGAGTGAGATTGGAGAGGTTCTATAGACAGCTGTACACATCGTCGTTGGAGCCACACACATGTGTGAGTAACGACTCAAGAGCAAAGCTTATCCGACACTATTCCGAAAATATCCCGGACTATCCCGGTTAGTCTGAGCGAGATTAGAATGGCTCTTAACCATCTTAAGAATGGCAAAGCATCGGGAACGGACGGAATTACAGCAGAGCTTCTGAAAGCGGGTCCTTCTGAAAGCAGGCTCTTGAATTCCGTCCTTCAGGGTGGCACTACACCAGAGGCGTGGAGCAGAAGTGTGGTGGTGCTGTTCTTCAAGAAAGGTGATAATGCTCTCTTGAAGAACTATAGACCGATATCCCTTCTGAGCCGCGTCTATGTGCTGTTCTCAAGAGTCATCTTGAATCGTCTCGCTTCCAGACACGACGACTTCCAGCCTCCCGAACAAGCCGGATTCCGAAAAGGTTTCAGTACCATAGACCACATACACACCTTGCGGCAGATTATACAGAAGACCGAAGAGTATAATCTGCCTTTGTGCCTAGCGTATGTGGACTATGAGAAAGCCTTCGATTCTGTCGAAATGTGGGCGGAACTCCAGGCTCTTCAGCGGTGCCAAATTGACTGTCGGTATATTGAAGTGCTGAGGTGCTTGTACAGCAAGGCTACGATGTCCGTCCAAGTACAGTCCAGTAGTACAAAACCTTTCCAACTGCAGAAGGGTATAAGACAGGGTGATGTCATATCCCCGAAACTCTTCACCGCTGCGTTGGAAGATGTTTTCAAGCTTCTGGACTGGAAAGGACGAGGTATTAACATCAATGGCGAATAGCTCACCCACCTTCGATTTGCCGACGATATAGTCATCATGGCAGAATCGCTGGAGGACCGGGGTGCTATGCTCAATGACCTCAACAGTGTCTCCCAACGGATCCCACCCGTAAATTATCCCCTTAAGATGAAAATGGACGAGACGAAGATCATGTCTAATGTCCATGTCACGCCTATACCGGTTGTTTTCATTTTCTCCTTTTATGAATAAAAAGCAATTTTTTTGTGAGTAGCTTCATTTTGACGAGACGCCCAACTTTTCCTTACAAAAATACGGGTAAACGGTAGCTAACAGGATTAGCAGAGGTGAAATATGTTGATTCGACGAATTTCAAAAATTTATTACTAACTGAATTTTTAGAATAGAATAGAAAAATCTTTATTGATCGTACACAAACACCATTTACAAAAATAATAAAAGAGAAAAAAATAACTAATTTACATATCGCTCCCCTCACCGAATAATATCGTTATCGATAAATTAAAATTTTACAGGAAAAATAAAAGAGTGTTTTTTGACGATTATTTTAAAGATTGTCTAACTTATGAGGATGAATTATATATCAAATGAAAGGTAATTTTTTATTAAATCATTTTAAACAAAGTTATTCATTTTGTACTTTCTTAAAATAAAGTTATTATAGAAAACATTTTTTACTATAAATGCTAGACAAAACATTTATTTGCAACATAATATTACGATATTATTCGTGTAAAAAAAAATAGATGCCATGAACAATAATGGCATACCACAATTTTATTCGTTAATGAAAGGTAACCAAACATAAACGGTAATAAATTAATAGGGGGTTTTTCGCGGATGTAATGTATGTTACATATTAAAGTTTTGTTTGAATACCATTGTTTATCGTATTATCTACAAAGTACTTGAAATATGATTCTCAATAAAACGATGGCTTTTGATGAAAGAAAACCGTTTATTAAGGGAAAGACAGGAAATGGTTGGATCATAATCATAATTGCAGCCTGTTTGAGTCCACTACTGAACTTAGGCCTCCCACAGACTGCCACGAAGCACGATCCTGAGCCACCTGCATCCATCGACTTCCCGCACACGTGTACAGATAATCTTGAGAAACTTCGGCATATCTTCTCGTCTAATATCACTCAATGTTTGAAGACAAAAGTCTTCAATCAATGTGTGTTGCCAGTGATGACCTACCGAACCGGGACGCGGTCCTTCACTGTTGGCCGTATGAGGAAGCTCAAAGTCGCTCAGCGGGCTATGGAGAGGACTATGCCCGGTATTTCTCTGCGTGATAGAGTTCCTAACCAAGACATCCGCAGAAGAAACAAGGTAACCGACATAGCGCAGAAGATTAGCAAGCGGAAGTGGCGATGGGCCGGCCATATAGCTCGTAGAACCGATAACCGTTGGGGAAGAAGGGTTCTTGAGGTGGCAGCCTCGTACTGGGCATCGCGGTGCAAGACGATCCCGCACTAGATAGAGTGACGACCTGTGCAAATGTGCGGCAAGTCGATGGATGCAGGTGGTTCAGGATTGTACTTCGTGACAGTCTATGGGGGGGCCTATTTAGAGCAGTGGACTCAAAGTCAAGTCTTGTCTGTTGAGATGAAGAAATAGCGACCTATTTCTTCATCTTTTAGTTGGCGTACTTTAGTC